CTCTTTTTTTTTTTTTTTTTTTTAAGTTTATGAAATTGCTTCACCTCATAATTTGGACATAGGAGGTTGTACATGATGCAACAGTCACTTGTTTGAACATTGCTTCATTTGTCTGTTCAAATGGCCTCAGATGAACTTTAAAGCTCTAGTCAGTGTCTGGAGAGGGTTAAATCTTTATCTGGTCTGACACACACAGCCAACCAAATGGATGAGTTTAGTATCCTAAAGGTGCTTGTGCAGTTTGAGCAAATGTACTGTTTGCTCTGCAAAAAACGGTTTGTGAGACAATCAGTAATGCTGATGTTGATCCAACAGATCTTTGCAAAAATGAAATGAGCATTATCTTGCTGGCAGCACAACAGAGAAAAGCTTGTGATGTTAGCTGTACTTGACATTTGATATTTGCTATCCTCATACAGTTTAACATATTGTATACATAGTTTCTAAAATCACCTCCATGTAGGGTTTTCCCCTCTTATTCTCTATTTTGTTTTCTCTGTTTTGTCATAAATACTCTGGAATTTAGTTTCGTTCAGCCAGCTGTATCTTTTGTATCCCTGTGAGGGCTGATCCAAATGCTGTCTTAAATGGCTTATGTAATATGTAACAATCAAAAGGAGCACTGTGCCTTTAAGACACCCATATTTGGCTTGTATATAATGTTGTGCATTGTTGTTTTTTATTTGTTGTGCCCAGAGGGGGCAGGCATGACCCCGTTCCCATTCCTTTTATAAAAGCACATTTTTAAAGGGGTTATAGGATGCTACATGCACTTTTACAAGTTGTTTGAACTTAAATGTGTGTTGGCAGTGTGTGTACACAACCACCCTATAATGATAAAAATCCACCCAGTATTTATTTTTTTTTAAAAATCTGGTTAAATGTTTTCCCCTTTCTCAAATCGAGCCGATCTCAGATGCCTGTCTGTGTGACGTCACACAGACAGGCCCCTCCCACGATAGTTTGATTGACAGTAGCGTTTCAGCACAGACTGGACTGGTGTCTTACCTTAGAACCGCACTGAGTGAGCTGTCATCAGTCCGCCATTGTTTCACCACCGGAGCAGATGTAGACAAGAATGACTCCCAAGCAATTGAGGTGTTCTGTTGTTGGATGCAATAATGAACATAGCAGTCGTCGTTTACTCCCGACATCTGAGCCGCTGAACTCGCAGTGGATTACATTTGTTCTATATTGCCTAAAATATCTAGGTTTTGGCTTTTTTTGCATGTGCAGACCGATCGGTGTATGACCTCGAGAGCATTTTGAAAGCATAAGGAACCGTCTGTATGGTATTTTGATATCATACACCGATCGGTCTGCACACGCAAACAAAGCCAAAACCTAGATATTTTAGGCAATATAGGCCTGGCCAGGATGCGTCCTGGGAAAATGGCACGTATGGTCACCCTATAGTATGGGTAACCATACTTGGCCACATGTCACATCACTTTTTTTAACATTTAAAGGAAAATGCTACAAAAACGGCTTGATCTGAAAAGAGCTGTTTTTGACAGGGTAAAAAAGGTGTTTTTTACACTACCATTGAGAAATTTTAACCAAACTATGTTACAGACTTTTCATTAAGACCCTAAAGAATCATATCAGCTTGTGGAAAATGGGCATCCTATGACCCCTTTAACACTAACCCTTGTGGGCTCCATATCAGTCTTACTAAGACAGACATACAGGGTAGGGAAAAAACATTCCCTGTAGATCTCCTCACATTTGTTTATGTAAATAAATAGGCCTACAGTATACATTGAATCTGTAAAGATTAGGTCAGTGAAGAGCTCAGGAAGCAAATCAAGTACCAAAAAAACTGAAATTCCATTTTAGAATTGTACTTATAGTAGTTTATTTTTAGATTCACATTTGTGCACGTTTGAATGAAATTTGCTGTTCATAAGATACAGTAGCCTACATACATATTAATTATTCATTTTGCTACTAGTGCCCCCAATAGCATAAAGAAGCTATGCACATCTGTTGTTTAGATAACTACTATTTGCTTTCAGCTAGTATGTATTGTAGTTGTTGTTGCTACCTCCTCCAGTATTCTCTCACTAGTTTATAGTTAAATGGAAAATCTTAATAGTAAGCGTGAAGAAATTTCAGCATGGTTCATTTCAATGGTATAGGCTACACACCAGTATCTTATAGATAGGGGCTATACTTGTGACTATTTAATTAATACTAGGAAAACTGTAATTGACACTAAATATAAAAATATATATATTAGAAAAATTGCAATAATTTAAGATTGATCCATTTATAAAACTGTAATGTATTTGAAGAGTTCAGATGCAAAAGCCTCTAAATGCTGTCTGAAATTTTCTTCTAAAATGAGCATTTTTATCAGGCTCCTATATTTATGTTCAGTTATTTCACTTTAATTGCATAGAAAAGGACCTATACATTGCCATTAGAGTAAAATTACTGAACCTAAACATAGCAGCCTGATAAAAATGCTCATTTTAGATGAAAATTTCAGATGGCACTTAGAGGCTTTTGCATCTGAACTCTTACTGTATTGAGCAACTTTTCTTTTCTTTTTTTTTTTCAAATTTAAATGTACAGACATTTTAAATGTGTAGAGTTTTATGCTTTTGTTGGTCATTTCCGGTTTTGTAACGAGTGGCACCAAGGTTCACATTGCCACAAAATGATGTCACCGTGACGATGAATAATTAGTGTGGACCTGAACTAAGAAATCTGATGATGTATTCGTCGTCACATTGTGATTGGTTTTCAGTCTTATTTCTGCGGAGGTGTACCTGCAATAGATGACATGATGGACAAACTCATTAGTCACATATGATTTGTATAACTTTTGTCCTAACTAGTAAACATTTATGAACTTATTACCATTTAGAACTACTGTCTGAACTACTGCTGGGAATATTTAAAGCTCATATCATATCTCTGGCTGAAAGGGTGTGTTGGGGCTTTTCCGTCTGAGAGAGCTGTAGATTTACTTAAGGAGTGTCATAGGGTAAAACATAATAAAACAACAAAATCTGCAGTCTATATATGGCTTTTTATCGATGTACAATCTTCTTAAACTAATTTTACTGCATGCTTTGTCTTGATTATTTGCTGACTCAAAGATGCTTTTATTAGTTAATTTTATGACAACGTGGATTGCAGTATGTTTGTGTCGTTAAACTAACTAATAATTGGGAAGGGTGCTTGCCCATATCAAAATACTGGGGTGGTAGCTAGGATGTCTTCTTTCAAACCAGCTTAAATGAAAATTGGCAAATAACTGAAATAAAATAAGTTTAAAATTAATACCGAAATTACTAAAACTGAAATAAAAATAAACTGAAGCTAAATAGAAATATAAAAAATAACAAAATTACTAAAACTTTAAATAAAAATAAAAATAAAAGCTAATACAAAATATTAATAAATACCGTAAAAGTACATAAACAATATTATACTAAAATACTTTTACAATACTAAAATATCACTGTCTCAAACAGATGTACAGTTGTTTGCAAAAAAAAAAAAAAAAGACATTTTAAAAGGTGCTCCATCAGACACCTGATGTGTGACTTTGCTCACTCTCTGTTTCAGGTGGTTGATGTGTCTAAAAGGATATCCGATGTACCTGAGTGGTTCAAAGGCAGCAGACTGAATTATGCAGAGAACCTGCTCAAACACAAAGACCAGGACAAAGTGGCTCTCTATGCTGCAAGTAAGTCACATCCAATTTCTGAACTACCCAAGTTTATTACACGGCGCTCAATCAGCATTCAACATTTTGTATAAGCTATAAATGACCATGTCCCCGGTAAGCACGTTGCCTCTTTGATCTCACATGATGAAATAATTTAATCTCAAATCAATATTTCATATGCATTTATTTACTTGCTTGGTAAGTAGCTGAATAATAAGCAGGGCACTTTTGCAAAATACACCCTTTCAGGTTAATCCTGATCTTCCTGCCTGGTCTATTTTGTGATAATAAACTGTCTGACTGTTTGTTCTCCCTATTGAATACAATGAGGAAAATCTGAAGTTTTAAGCTTCGTTAGGCAGAGTGTCTGTATAATTCAGCTGAACTGAATTCAGTGGCAGTCATCCAGGTCATATGAAAACAGCTAACCGTGATTCATACCACATTCCCAAACTGCACCCTTAAGCACTTTCAAGCAATACAAATCTTTTTTTAACTTAATTATTTATCTAAGAACTGCATCAGCTGCATTCAAACCCTGGTTGCCATTGCATCTTTTATGTTAAACTTTTCATTGCACATTTTATTACCAATATATCTCCATGACCAGACACCGCACAAACGTCTCCCAATTCAAAACAAGACCCTGCATCTCTGCTGACCACCTTGAGCCATTGTCTATCTGACCTTATACACAAATGGCTACTTTAAAATAGCAACAGCACTGTGTGCATATGTGTTTTATCTGTATAGATAGAATCTGTCGTTGCATGGCCTCTGGCTAATGTAACACTAAATGAATTATGCTATCTGTAATTTGATTTGGGGGTTTAGTGTCTGTGTAGGGGCGGGATGCACCTGTAGTTGAGCTTTTATGTTGTGATGGATGTCCTGATGCGGTCCAGGAAAGAGCGGATGTAATTACCAAAGTGGCATCTATCAGAAATGTACCTGCGTCATTGGTTTGTGTCTTCGTGAAACAGGGAGGCTCATTTACCTGAAAAAGTAGATTACATAGGACTCTGGAGCCCAAATTAAATGTAACACTTCATTTACTGATTACATACAGTAATGAAAAACATTACCCGAGTTGACTGTGATATCTCAGCTGCACCACAGTCACAGATGGCAAAGAATTCTCTGGTTGCTCATTAAAGCTAGTGCGCTGATATTTACTGATTTAATGATAGGTAGATTTAATAATAATGAACACGACAACATTTTTATGTCACCGTTACCATTCAAAATATATATATTTTTTAAAGAAATTAATATGTTTTGTTAAGCAAGGATGTATTAAATTGATCAAAAGTGTCAGTCGCATTTATAATCTTTAAAAGATTTATATTTTGAATAAATGATGTTCTTTTAAACTTTCTATTCATTAAAGAATCATGAAAAAGTAATGTATGAATGATTTTCAGTAACGTATTAAGCAGCACAATTGTTTATTCAACAATATTGATAATAAGAAATATTCCTGAGCACCTAATCAGCATATCAGAGGGATTTCTGAAGGATTATGGGAGACTGCTGTTGAAAATTCAGCTTTTCCATCACAGAAATAAATTACATTTTGAAATATATTAAAATAGAAATCAATTCTTTTAAAATGTAATAATATTTCACAATATATTTAAATGCAGCCTTTGTGAGAAAAAGGGATTTCTTTCAAAAAAATATATAAAAAAAAACTTATTATTATTACTTATTTATTTTTTAGCTGTCATGTCTTTTTTAACATGTTTGAGATTTCTAAAAGTGATATTTTTTTTTCCTCCTCTTTTTTTTTTTTGTAGCTGAGGCGAATGAGGAGATCGTGAAGGTGACTTTCGGAGAGCTGAGACGTGATGTCGCTCTCTTTGCTGCCGCTATGAGGAAGATGGGCATCAAAACTGGAGACAGGGTCGTAGGTAAGCAACATCTCCTTTTCTCTTTCATTTTGTCTGTCTCTTACTATTTGTGTTGCGCTTTCTCAGTCACCCATTTGACACCCAGATGACAGTTGTGGGATGAGGAAATACAAGCCAACACTCAGCCAAATACAAGAAAATCGAACACAATGTTTAATATTGCATCAGGCCTGGGTGTTCTAACCTGTTTTTCCTGCTTTCTTTCTTTGCTTTTTTACTCTGTCCTTGTTTGTCTTCATGACTCCTAACTCTGAGAGCCAGACAGGCGCTCCTGAAATGACAAACTCCCCCTATCCTGTCTCAGTCCTGGGGTTCAGCCAGTCATTCTTGGCTATAGATGGAGAATAAGAGGGATGCAGTTATACAGTGGCAAGGGTAATTAGTCTTTTCGAGCAGTTTGTGTGCAGATTTAAAACTCAAATGGTCGTTCAGGCAAGCTGAAGCTGGAGGTTCGTTTGAAGGTTCAGATGCTTGATATGTCTCCACCCTGTACTGTGGAAGCATGTGTGAGTAATTTATGCAGGTGATGTGAGAGGGGGAAAAGTGTGTGTAACCGCTGACATCATTCTGCTGCCACTGGGTCCATTATCTGCAGTATCTGCTGATCATCTTTGAATTGTAATGGCTGTAAATGGGAGAGGGCCATTTCAGTGACATACACACTTAGATTTATTATTACAAGTCCCTATAGAGTAATAAAGGAAAATGACCAGTATGGTACAGAGATTTATACAGTTATACTCTATAAACACATTTTGGTTGGTTTATTAATATCTTCATGATTCAGATACAGTGTTTTTATGCTGTTCTTTGCAGACAGATTTAAAAAATGTTTTTAGAAGTTGTCTAAAGCTGGCAAAATGTTCTATTGAGGACATTCTCAAAAGTAAAAGTGGATTATGAACTAGATTTTTGGTTTGAAAAAGTGAGTGTTCTGTCAATGCGAAAGTCAACATCACAAGGTTGCCAGGGTGTTGCTTTATGGTTGTTAGAGTTGCCGTGACGATGCTAGTTGGTTTCTAGGGTGGTTGACTACTATGTGACTACTTACTCAAGTAAAAGTTTATCTGATTCCGGATATGTCTTGAGCCAAATCTATGAGAGAGCTTTTTTTTTTTGCTCATTTATGGTCTGCCACATAAAATTAGTCAATTTAAGGGAATTTTGATACATAGAATAACTTTTATTTAATTTAATTTATAAATAAAATAATTCAAAATATGTATTAGTTTATATTTTTATTATCCTAAAATGTTTTATTAAAAAGAAATATTAGATTATTATATAATAATAATAAAATTATAGAATAATTTGAAATTTTTAAAATATGTTCTGAAATACTTTACAAATATTTTTTACTTAAAATAAAAAAATTAAATTATATGTGTATATATAGGTGTATATATATATATATATATATATATATATATATAAAATAAATGCAAAACCATTTTTGAAATATGTGTAGATCCCCTTGTGAATGTTATGAGTTGCTGCTGTGCATTTAGTCCAAAGCAAATTTCCTTTAGTGGGACAGTAAAGTATATTTAATCTAATACACTTATCTGTAAAAATTATTAGCTACATGTAAGAACTGAAGTGGTAATGTCTCCCTGGCTTTAATTTTCTGTATAAATTCCAGTACTACTATGCCCTTTTTCTAAGTATTTCAACGTGGGTGCAAATATAACTGTGTGTTCACAGAGGTGTGTCTGTTTTGTACAAGTGTGTGTTATGTAAAGTAAAACCCTAGAAGTTTACTTGGAGTGTATTGATCCTGTTAGGGTGTGCAGTTCTGTGTGTGTTCATGTATAAAGTGTGTTTCTCTGTAGCAAGCAAAAATTAGTAAATAAAAAATAAGTGTAATATTCCGTCATATTATCGCCCATGTACAAAAAAAGTAGGTCATGATACCATAAATTCTCGCTGTCTTCAAGTGTGTGTGTGTGTGTGTGTGTGTGTGTGTGTGTGACCTGTTAGCTATGTCAGACATTTTGTCACACATACACACACATTACTTCTCGCTCCTGCCTCTCTGCGTCTCTCTCTCTCACACTCCTATGAGGAGATTAAAGTAAGTCTACAGCCCCCTCAGGGCTGAGGTTATTCCGTAAATAGGACAGGCTCTAGCAGATAAAGCTACATAGATTCACCAATACTTATTGACAAAAGTAAACTCAGTATATACATTGCTGCCATCTGTGCTTAAGTCAGGGTACTACAGCATATTACTGCAGCTAAGTGGAATCAATGTGCCAATTGTGTGTACACTAACCATTCAAAAGTTTGGGCTCAGTAATATTTTTTTTTAATGTTTTCTTTTTTTTTAAGGCTGCATTTATTTGATAAAAAATACAGTAAAAACAGTAATATTGTGAAATATTAAAATTTTAATGTTAAAATGTGATTTATTCCTGTGATGCAAAGCTGAATTTTCAACAATCATTACTCTAGTCTTCAGTGTCACATGATCCTTCAGAAATCATTCTAATATGCTGATTTGCTGCTCAAGAAGCATTTCTTAGTATCAGTGTTATAACTTTTTTTTCTGACTTTTTTATGAATGAAAAGGTTCGAAAGAACAGCATTTATTAGAAATATAAATCTTTTGTAACAATGCAGAAGTCTTCACTTCACTTTTGATCAATTTAATGCATTGTATAGAAATGAATAAACATTCATTTCTTTAAAAATTCTTACTGACCCCCAAGTTTTGAACTGTAACTGTAACTATATAGTGTGTATATATAGTTTATTTTTAAACAATATAGCCTATTGTGTGTGTGTGTGTGTGTGTGTGTGTGTGTGTACTGTACCTTAGGTATTTTTTTTCTATCATTTATGTGTCTTTTTTCATCTTCAGGGAGTTCTAGACCGGATTTCTCAGATCCAGCCTAAGTTGATATTCTCAGTAGCAGCTGTTGTGTATAACGGCAAGCAGCACAACCATATGGAGAAACTCCAGAATGTTGTTAAAGGTATACAGCACACATTTCAGCTCACGCAAAGCTAGATTTTTCCATCATGTTATTATGTTGATATATTTGCATTTCATGGAGCTGCATATATTTGTTTTTTCCCCCATCATCTCTCTCAGGTCTCCCTGACCTGAAGAAGGTTGTGGTCATTCCATACGTTCGCTCTCGACAAGAGACTGACCTCTCCAAGATTCCCAACAGGTCTGTGCATCTATGTGTGTTTACAATCATATTTCAATACATCATATTTCTTTTTATTATATATTGCATTGATACTTACATTTGCATGTACAAGTTAAATTCACTTGACAAAATATGTTCATTTGTAATGACCTAAAGTCATAAAGCATAGATGACACTTGTGACAAGCAATGATTAAGAGTTTTTGGTGTAATATACTACATACATACACTATCGTTCAAGTTTGGGGTCAGTACAGTTTTTTAATACTGTTAATTAATACTTGATATTAATCAAATTGAATTAATAAAAAAATGTATCAGTTTCCACAAAAATAACTGTTTTCAACATTGGTAAGAAATGTTTCTTGAGCAATTTATTTCTTAAGGATCATGTGACACTGAAGACTGGAGTAACGAAGCTGAAAATTCAGCTTTGCATCACAGGAATACATGTTAAAATATAATAAAATAGTAAACGGTTTCAATTTTAAATTGTAACAATATTTTACTGTTTTGTATTATTATTTGATCAAATAAATGCAGCCTTGGTGAGCATAAGAGACTACTTTCAAAAACATTAACAAAATTAACCAACCCCAAACTTTTGAACGTTAGTGTACATATGTATAAAATACATCACTATATTGTAAGATTTATTATTAAGTGTTTACATACTGTAACCTTTCAATCCTGCTATTTAAATATCTGTTGCTTTGTTTAATATAAATTTGGTTGTATTTTATGGACATTCCTTACTGATATTTAACCTGTGATCGTGATAATTGCATTATATTAATTGTAAGCTACTACTTCGAACACACATTGATTTGTAATCTCTCTATTCTTTAAGGGATAGTTCACCCAAAAATGATCTTTTTTTCCCCTCAAACCTGTATGAATTTCTTTCTTCTATTGAACACAAAAGAAGATATTTTGAAGAATGTTGGTAATCGAGCAGTTGCTGGTAGCCATTGACTTCCATAGTATTTGTTTGAAGTCAGTGGCTGCCAGCAACTGTTTGGTTACCAACATTCTTCAAAATATCTTCTTTTGTGTTCAACAGCAGAAAGAAACCTAGGTTTGGTTTGGAACAACTTGAGGGTGAGTAAATGATGACAGAATTTTTATTTTTGGAGTGCTGTCCCTTTAAGATGGCTGAATATCCTGTGAAATCCATTTTTCGTATCTAGCATGCAAAGTACTTGTATTTTGCCATTCTTCACTTATAAATCACTTTGGCTAAATCAATACGTGTTAATTGTTTGTTAGCCCTTGTTAAACTGACAGAATAAATCATTTCAAATGTTTCTATGAAGTTTCAGTTGGGTTTTTCTTCCTCTCTCAGTGACAGCTGCTGCTGTATGTTCAGATGAAATCTGAAGTGGTGCTGTCTGGTTAGGACACAGTCAGTCCTAAGTCCTGACTCTCTGTCTCCTGTACTTTTTCTGTCAGTGTGTTCCTGGATGACTTTTTGGCCATGGGTAAAGAAGGGGATCAGGACCCTCAGTTGGAGTTTGAGCAGCTGCCCTTCTCTCATCCTCTCTTCATCATGTACTCTTCTGGTACCACAGGAGCTCCCAAGTGCATGGTGCATTCTGCTGGGGTGAGTGTGTGCGCGCACCTAAGACATTGTGCAGAGTCCAATTTGATATATTGTACTCTGTGCAATTACTTCTTGATATATGCATTTTCGAGCGCCCTGAGCCAAACATGATGTATAAGGAAAGAAAATACAGATGCAAGCATTTTGCAGGTGTACAAATATCAACAGCTAAATTATTCATTTTTAATGTAGGAACTTATTGATGCATTTTATTTGCTTAAAATTGTGTGTGTGTGTGTACTCGTAGACAGGGTTTAGGGCAATGTTTTTAAAATTAAAGCCATAAAAAAACTGTTTTTGTTCATTGAAATAAAGCTTAAATTAAATATAAATATTAGATGGAAAAACATACTTGAAAAGTGAAAATGAGAAATGTTTCCTTGAAAATCAACTTAAACTTTTTTTTAAAGGCAAGTTTATTTATATAGCACATTTCATACACGATGGTAATTCAAAGTGCTGTATATTAAAAGGTTTTAACAGATTAAGACATAAAATTAACTATTAAAAAAACAAAGATTCCAATAACAACAACAAAAATTTTAATATAATTCAAAACAAAGAAAAGAGGAATAAATAGATGATGCTGTGCATTTTATTTCAGTTAAAGTACTAAAACTGAAATAAAAGAAAGCTAAATATGAATATAGAAATATGTCTTAAACTGCTGCATGATTTCTGTAAACATCCCTCCTATGCATGTTGGTCATCACACGCAAAATCTCTTGAATCACCAATATTGACCACAAGATGGCAATAAGAGGCCATTTTAAAACCTGACACCATAAACCAGATGCAATTGGGATGAGCAATTATGTGCACCATTCTCATCCCTTCTGAATGCATTACTTGTGTAATCCCAACATTAGGGACACAGTAGCCCACATGAGTCTAAATCAACCATTCTTTCTTCACATACCCACAATTTCAATTCAAAAATCAACATTGCACAGAAAATTTGTTTGAAAAATCAGGGAAGGCAAAAGCAGTGCTTGATCTTTTTGCTTTGTTGTGCTTCACAATCACACTTCATATGCGCTTGGTCAGTGTGTGTATAACACTGCGTTTTCATTTTCACCGATTTTCCCTTTAGCCTTTGCGGCATTTGTGTCTGACGCCTCTCTTGCGTGCTGGATAATTAGAGCGCTGTGTCTATGAAAACACAACACGTGCAGCCACGTTTCTCTCTTCTCGCTCTATGGATGATCAATGTTCAGTGAGCTCTTATGAAACAGTACTCGTGTCGGGTTATGGCTGTTAGCGAATGAATGAACACGCTAGCAATTAATGCTTTCACTAGGATACGTGTTAGACGCATGGTGTTAGAAAAAAGGAATGTGTGGGGGCGTGCTGGATAATTAGAGCGCTGTGTCTATGAAAACACAACACGTGCAGCCACGTTTCTCTCTTCTCGCTCTATGGATGATCAATGTTCAGTGAGCTCTTATGAAAACAGTACTCGTGTCGGGTTATGGCTGTTAGCGAATGAATGAACACGCTAGCAATTAATGCTTTCACTAGGATACGTGTTAGACGCATGGTGTTAGAAAAAAGGAATGTGTGGGTTTTTTTTAAATCCATGCAGTGTCGCTGATCCTTTAGTTCGTTAATTAGGCCGTTCCCTGCCTGCCAGAATACTTCTGAACGTACAACACCAGCTCATGAGAAAGAACTGGAGAAGAACATGAGATTCAGAAAAACAAACACATGCTTTGTGTTAAGTCGCCTCTGATTGATATCGAAGACCTCTAATTTTACTTATAAAATGGATAATTCCGGTCCTTGATTCTGATTGGTTGAGCCGTGTTCGAAGCTGTTGTACTCTACGACTACACTACCACTACAACTTTGTTGTAACCACAACTGTTTCTGAGGAACTACATTGTTTGGTGGAAGAATACTGTTTTTATTAATATCATTACACTTTATTTGCTCTGTCTTATTTTGTGCAACCTAACTACGTATATGGAATAACCGTTTTATAAAAGCAATAAGCCCCGTGAAGCGTGAATTCTTGGGGCTTATTGCTTTATTTTCTTAGCCATTTTTCCAGGTGATTTGTAATGATTGTATGAAGTCAGCTGTCCTCAGGTTCACACAGATGTCCTAGCAAAGTAACCACAGGTGTAGTTCATCACATTAACTGTGACCGTTTCACCAGTCTGACCCTTTTGTTCTCCTTTCCCCAGGGCACTCTCATCCAGCATCTTAAAGAACACATTCTCCATGGCAACATGACCTACAGTGATGTCATCATATATTATACTACGGTATGTATCTGCCGCCTTAGATGCAGTAACTATACCATTTTGGTGGAAAACAGCATCTTTCTCCAATGACATCTATTCAAAAGTAGCTGTGCTGTCTGACTGAATCTTTATAAGCACCATACAGTATGCCTTACCTTTCAAAAGTATGGTTTTTGAAGTCTCTTGTGCTCACCAATGCTGTGCCTGAAATTGCATACTTCCCTACTACAGTATATAGTTTGCGAAAACAGTATGTGAGGCGAGTAGTATGTCCGAATTCATAGTATTCGCAAAACAATAGGTGAAAAGTACCCGGATGAACTACTACTTCCACCCGGATTCTTTTTTAGGATTACTGATAAACTAATGTAGTTTGATTTGTATTAGTTATCTGTTTTAGTTTTAGTTACAGTTGTAGTAATGTTGTCATTTTATTCGTTTTTTTTATTATGTCTATATAGGCTTTCTATTTAAGTTTTATTTATTTTGAGTTATTTCAGTACTTCAACATACAAAATGGAAATGAAATAATATATATATATTGAATGTATTTATATATATATATATATATATATATTAGTATTTATAGTGTTTTAGCTTTTAGTTTTAATTACTTTTTCTTAAAGTTTGGATAAAAGCGTCTGCTAAATGACAAAGTAAAGTAAAAGGATTCTGAAGTGCGCATACAATGGACACTTTATGAGGCCACGGGAGAGGATTTATAGAGGAGAGGATTTAATATTGTGAAAAAATTGTACATTTTAAAATGTTGTCTATTTTAATATATTATAAAAGAAGTTTCTGTGATGGCAAAACTGAATTTTTATCAGCCATTACTCCACTTATCAGTGTCACATGATCCTTCAGAAATCATTTTAATATACCGATTAGAAACATTTCTTATTATTATCAATGTTTAAAATAGTTGTGCTGCTTAATGTTTTTATAGAAACCATTATACATTTTTTCAGGATTCCTTAATTTATTTGACATTTTTTTGTAACTTTTTAAAAATCATTACTATCACTCTTGATCAATTTAATGCATCCTTGCTGATCAAAAGGATCAGTTTCTTCAAAACGTTTGAATGTTAGCAGCATGTAGATTGCTTACTTCTACAGGTATTATAGAACTCATCGTGTTAGTCTTTGATGTGATTGATTAATGTTATTGTGCGCCACTCCCACAGTCTTAGTTATTACATAGAAAAAACTATTTCAGAAAAAGTAATTTCAGAGGCAGAGAACATTATTACATTTTGATGAAAGATTTTAAACAAACGTACTACTTTAGCATGACGTACACTGATGAATTTTTCCCAATAACAATAGGGACATTTATTAATAAATCAGATTAACATAATTTGCCATTATGTCTTCGTTAGGGCAATGTATTTTCTTTCCTCTATGTCTTTTAGCAAGGTTCGCAAAATGAAGATACACATAATTTCTGGGCAGTCCAGTTTGATATTCAAAATGATATGGTCCATTTTGAACACTGTTCGTTAAACTTTACTGAGTAGTTGGTGTGTTTACCCAGTCTGGTCAGACTCAGGACAAAAATGTATTCTCTGACCCAATCTCTCTTATTTATATGCAGACGGGCTGGATGATGTGGAACTGGCTGGTGTCCTCTCTAGCTGTTGGGGCTTCTGTGGTCCTGTACGATGGCTCCCCTCTTCTTCCCAGTGCCAATGTGCTCTGGGACCTTGTAGACCGTCTGGGGTAAGTAAATCTGTGTGTGTGTGTGTGTGTGTGTGTACCTGTTTTTCTATTCTGGTGGGGACTTAAACCTGAATACACACAGACTCATGGGGACTCGTGTCACGGTGGGGACCTAAATTGAGGTCCCCACGGGTAAACAAGCTAATAAATCGCACAAAGTTTTTTGAAAATCTAAAAATGCAGAAAGCTTCCTGTGATGGGTAGGTTTAGGTGTAGGGCAATAGAATATTTGGTCTGTACAGTAGAAAAATCATTATGCCTATGGAGAGTCCCCACAAGGATAGTAAACCAGACGTGTGTGTGTGTGTGTGTGTGTGTGTGTGTGTGTGTGTGTGTGTGTGTGTGTGTGAGAAAGACACACTATAACGAAGGTGTCACAGTCAGGAGCTTCAGTCCCTTTTTTTTCCCTCATGCCCCTGCTGTAATTGGCCGAGGTGTGGCAGTACTTATCACCAGCATCTGCTGTGCCCTTTGTGTAAATGACACCACATCACCACGACAACCTGATTTAAAGAGATGGGTCTAATTGGCCACTTTTAATGTGGCATCGAGTTCCTTTCAGAGTTTACCTGTTATTGATCAGAAATGATCGAAGTGCAACAGACACTGGAGTTCCTCTGATTCACACTTGGTGTGTGTGTGAGAGAGAGATCATTTTCAGCTCCCATGGCTACTGGTGAAAGCCTCTATTCTTAACTCTCATTGTCTCGCTTCTTCCCAAGAGAAAGAAAATAGAGACATTTTTGCAGAAGCTATTGGGAAAGCCAAAATATACACACACTCACACATTTTTATTACTCACCAGACCCATGTGTGCTGCTTAAATCACTTCATTTCAGAGACGCATTCATTTTTTTACATTTTTAATTAGGGCTGACAATCAATTAAAAATAATATATAATTAATTGCATACAAATTAATATAATTAAATACACTGCCATTTAAAAGTTTGGGGTCAGCAAGATAATTTTCTTTAATGAAATTAATACTTTTAATCCACAAGGATGCGTTAAATTGACCAAAAGTGGCAATAAAGACATTCACATTCTATTTCAAATAAATGCAGTTTCCACAAAAATATTAATCAGCACAACAATTTTCAACATTGATAATAAGAAGTACCAACTCAGCATATTAGAATGATTTCTGAATGATCATGTGACACTGAAAACTGGAATAATGGCTGCTGAAAGTTTAGCTTTGCGATTTACAGAAATAATTTACATTTTACATGTATTAAAATAGAAAATATTTTTCAGTTGTAATATTATTTCACAATATTGCTGTTTTATTTTATCTTTCATCAAGTAAATTCTGACTTGTGAAGATAAGAGACTTCTTGCAAAACAAAAAAAATCTTACCAACCCAAGACTTTTGAATGGTAATGTATGCGAAATGCCAATTTAATCATATTAATTGCAAAAAGCTCATAAATAAAGAGTCAATTTCAAGATATAGCATTGTGGCAAACGAGTAAAGCATTTAATAGATGTTACAAAAAATGTATTATTTGGAAATTAAACAAACTGAAGTCAATGTAAGCCTATCACAGTTCTACAGGTCACCGCAATTGAGTTTGTCAGTCTGTCTGAAATTTACACATCATGCATTCTAGCATTTATGCAGTATTTTTTTCTTTTTAATGTTAGTCTGTGGCGTCTTTGGCCATTTCTCAACTTTTAAAAACATGTCTCAAATCCTCTTGAGTTCAGTTCCATGCCATTGCACTGAGTCTTGCTATATTGAACGCAAGATTGCATCCTGTGTGAACTGTTTTTGAGCGGTCTGCTCTCAGTAAATGTGATTTGGCGAGGCGTGTTGCCTGTGATAGCAGCTGAGCTTCAAATTTGAATTGCTTCAATTGTATGAATATTTCTTAATGTGGAATTTACATATGGGTCAGAGGGCATGCTTAAACTGTGTTGTGTTTTTAATCACGTTATTTTATATAGATATTAATTGTATTAAGTGGATATGTTAAATTTAACAGTCCTGATTTTAAAAGGCAGCTCAGGTTTGTATCCGAGTCTTTTTATTTGTCTTTCTGAGTTTAGCTTTGAGTTAGTCCTGTTGGTGACACCAATTAAGTTCTTCCTCTGGGCAGTATAGGGTCTATTTGGAGTTTACGGAGATAGTGAAAAGACGGTTAATTTTTAAGTTTAGTGGATACGTCATCATTCAGTGTAGTTCAAACCCACAACCTTTTAATTCCAATCAACAGTCTATAGATAGAACCAAGTGCCCTCTACATTTTTTTTCTTTTTTGATAATCTGTTACACTCAAATATTTGTCACAATACAGAAGATCTTTTGCTGCTTCCATTCCATCATGAAGCATCAATCTCAACTGGTTCTGAACCTTTTAATTATTAGACTAGGAGGGTGTTTACATGGCAACTTGTTTTATTTAAAAAAAGCAAGGAAGATCTTGTTTTCATTTCCATCAAATTGGGCTACTTTTAGGTAATACTAACTAGTTTAAAGGGGTCCTATTATGCTTTTTCACTTTTTCAAGTTTAGTTAGTCTGTAATGTTGCTGTTTGAGCATAAAAAAGATCTGTAAAGTTACAACGCTCAAAGTCCACTTCAAAAGGAGATATTTTATTTAACAGAAATCACTTTTTAAAAACCACAACGAACGACTCGTTTGGACTACAATGCATATTTTCCGGGATTTGTGATATCACAAATATCGACGAATGGGACGAGACCTGGTTGAGCTGCACTAGAGAAGGCAACGAGTGTAATCACTATGTCGGAGACACGCTAGCTTTCCCAAGGCAGACGAACTTAGAGTGGTTACAATCATCCGGGTTTAAATTGCGCTCAAATTGATTTGATTTTGACGCAATATTTACACTGAAGCTCACAGGCGGCTATGGTAAGGAGCGTGACATTTCCCGACCAGGCGCCGAGTGGTGCCAATCACAACACACACTGGCCCAGCTAACCAATCACAGCACATTTCGTATTTCAGAAGGCGGGCCTTCATTTGATACAGGAACTATTCGAGCCGTTTATGCCAGACTGGGGAGAGAGGTGTTGTAATAATGTAAAATATGAAAAATAATGTTTTTTTGAACAACCTAGTATGAGAGCCTGTTCTAGTACACCCCCAAAACAAAATCAAGACTTTGTAAAAGAGCATAATAGGACCCCTTTAAGGCACGGCCTCTTAACTTAGTGCACACTACAAGACTCAAGCTTGATGCTTTTGATCTATTAGTCTGTATCCAGAAATTGCAGATCGTAGTTCATACCCAATATATTCTGGGATCATCGCTTCAGTCGAGGCCTGCAATCAGTTGTGTAGTGTGCGCAGGGAAACATTTCTGTGTACTTGGCTTTATTTGATCATGCTGTCTAAATTTGTAGACGTTTGCCTTTGTGACAGAGACAAATAGAGACAAATAAAGTTCATAACTTCAGATTGAATCAGCCCATCTACTCCTGTTCTGCAGACCAGGTAGAATAAAACATGCTCTTTCTTTCTCTCTCTCTTTTGTCCCACTATTTTTAGACATACGAATGGATTGATCCTGGATTAGCTTTTATCTTGTGCTGCTCCCCTTTCAGATTAATTGTGTTTTAATGTTTACAAATAATCAATATTCAATCAGAAGGTAGATGGGGTGACCATGTAGATGTAAGAAAATGCGTAAGGGAAATGTATTCTGGACAAAGGGCCATTGTGAAACTTGGTCATGATAGACAACTCTTCCTTTGTCCCATTTGTCATTGTTGGGGAAAAATAGCTCCTATTTTTTGGTCTTTAATAAGACAGAAGAGACTAAGAATGGATTGTGTTGAAGTGTAAGACAATGGACCCAATACTTTCTCCATAGTTTGAGAGGAACCCACAATCCAGAGTGGTATGTTATTGAATCTTATCTTAGGTTGCTGGAGCTACCTAGCTTTGCTGGCACATTAGTTGAAGAATGCAGACATTAAATTCTCTGAATTATTGTAATTAATAAGTTTGTTTCCTTAACTGCACTGATAGTTCCTTTTATTGAGGTCAAGATATACACCCCCCACAAAATTTAGGGGAAGTCGTGGCCTAATGGTTAGAGAGTCGGACTCGTAACCCAAAGGTTGCGGGCAGGGATTGTAGGTGGGGGGAGTGAATGTACAGCGCTCTCTCCCACCTTCAATACCACGACTGAAGTGCCCTTGAGCAAGGCACCGAACCCCCAACTGCTCCCCGGGCGCCGCAGCAAAAAATGGCCCATACTCGGGGTCACTGGCCCACTTTTGGATGGAATAAATGCAGAGCACTAATTCCGAGTTGGCCACATGTCACTTCACTTCACATGTCACTTCACTAGAGGTGTCCAATTCTGCTTCTGCAGGGCTGCCTTCCTGCTAAGTTTGACTCCAGCACACCTGTCTGGTAGACATTTGGGGCCAGTGGAACTTGATTAGTTGGTTCAGGCTAAACTCTGGTGAAAGGTACCCCTCTAGGAGCCGGATTGGACATCTTGATATATACCATTAAGCTGGGCCTTACCATAACTGGGGGCTCGTCCGGGACCTGAATTGCGCTGGTTTAAAAGTCAAGAATGAGCTTTTTACAATCCACATAACAATATTTATGTATCACTACACATTTGGGGCCAGTGGAACTTTCAATGTCTTTCACAAAGCATTGCCATGTTGAGTTAAAGGGATAGCCTGGGAGAAACCTGGATCTGAGTGCCGTTTCTCAATGCTTCATTGGTGATAGTTGATTGATCTCCCCTTTGAATCTCTAACCTGTTGGGTAATAAGCTAAGTATCTAGTCAATATCTGGTTAAGATCTGATATACACCTATATATATTTGCTTGAAATTTTACTTCTATAGGCCAAACTTGCTTGTCTCATCTGCCAGTTGTAATTTTCCATGTGCAGATGGGGCCAAAATTATGTGGCTTATACGAAATGAGCTGTCTGAATATTTAGACAAGCTTCACTTCTTTAATATTAGAAAAATGAACAACCCCATGATCAATTCTATGGATAGACTATGCAGTAAATCAGAGGTCCATGATGCTATAAACGGAAGGAAGATCAGTGCTTGGTCATAGCATTAGATTGGTTCTGGCAAGTTTTCCCATTTTCCCTGACTGATATCTTGCTTGTGAAATCACGTTCCATTTCATTTCATATACAATTCTCTTCCTACATTCTAAACGACCCATTACTAACCAGGCCTTGCCAGCTGCCACCAATCACACGCAAGCAGGACATTGTCATGGCACCTATCCACATTGGGGACGTCTCTTTTTGGACAATATAGAGAAAGAAAAACAGAATGACAAATGAGTTTAGATGGGTACTTAATTATATTTATGTGCAGCTCTTGATATTTTTCACATTAATTGTTCAATGCAAAATATAGGTTAATTTTACCTGACCATTTTCCGCTTCCAAATGAAATGTTTCACTCTTTACGCAAATCCCCTGTGATTGGTTAGCCTCTTTGAATGTCAAATGCGTGGTTGCTCTATGCTTTTGATGTGCAGATTGTGGGTGTTTTATTAATTCTCATGGTTGTGTCGTCAATATGCTGACAATTTCTGAATGACAATTTTTTGCTGCTCTTGGAGCGGTGTATTCTGAACATTGGAGTACATAGAAATCCTGTTTTCACCAGGTTTAAGTGTTAAACATCGGTTAGGATAATTTCTTTTCCATGTGCATTTAGGAATAGGCATTTTCATGTAGTATACAACCTCTAGAGTAGAAAGTCAGCTCTACTGGATATTTGCCCCCCCCCCCCACCTCCTGATTTCTGACCGCGAGTGAATCCATCAAGAGATAGCTGACCGAGGCCTCTGCAGGTCAACAGGCCATTTAGATCAATTCCACCTCATTGACACTGACTGAAAGTGCTCCGCTTTTTGTTCTATAGTGGAAGCACGGATATCTAAAGTGCTATGGAAATTAGGTTTTCATGTTTGTTGGTGATGTGGCCTAGTGTAATGTTTCCCAAACAGATGTACCTCAGGTTTCTTAAAGATGCTGCCCTTTTATATTTTACCTCCTAAATTGCAGCTCGGTTTTGCAAGCTCTAAGAAAGCCATTTTATTTTTATACATTCAAAATATACACCTAATTGTTAACATCCATTTTTGTCCATTTGTTTTATCATCTGCTGACAGAATCACGATTTTTGGGACTGGAGCGAAATGGCTGTCTGTGTTGGAGGAGAGAAATCTGAAACCTGGTGAGCTGCATTGAATTACAATCCCTCTGTCTTCTCTCTTTCGTTTCTTCACTTTTTCTGTCATAATAGGAATGTCACTATACAGTATTTCAGTAGTCAATACCAATGCCAGTGATATTTTATATTTTTAATATCAATTTTGATACCGCTGCAAAAACAAATATGTTGTCGAGCACTACACATTTTATACTGCAAGGCCTAATGTTCAGATTTTTTTAGCACACCATTTGCTTGTTTACAAATCTACCGTTTACCTTGTTAGAAAGCGCTTTGTTGCACATGTTTGACTATTCATGTGCATCTGTGAGGTAAATGCACCAAATTGGGTCTTTACTCGGTACTACTGATGAGGAGACAATTTGAAAATGAGCACCTGTGGTTTCCAATGCAGGGATTAAAAAAACAACTTGAAATGAAATTCAATGCACAGCTACTTAAGAATGTCTGTCAATGGAAAAAGATGTAGCTGCGCCAATGCTAACCAGCAAAACCCTGACACCTTGGATGTAACTGGTGCTTTATGAATTAAATTTAATTAATATTGCATTAAATTAATATTTAGTCAAATTAAATTAAAGTGATAGTTCACCCAATTAGAAAAAGTCTGTCATTTACTCACCCTCAGTTTATTCCAAACCTGTTTGAGTTTGCTGAATGCGAAAGAAGGTATTTTGAAGATTGTGGGTAACCAAACAGTGCTGGTAGCCATTAACTTCCATATGAACAAAATTCATATTCATGTTCAGTGCTTTGTGAATGCCAGTTCATGTCATCCTTAAAGATGAAGCTCTTGTTGTGTTTGAGGTATTGGAGGAATTAGTTTTGCATGTGTGTGGTTGAGTGGATTGTGTGTTGGGGGGTCAGAGACGTGCTTCCTGGCCCTCCGCTGCTCGACATTTCAGAGTGACACCTGTTAGCCTGTGGGGTGTGGCACTGGCTCTGATAACCGGTGCGAGAGACCCTCTTTACATGGGACCCCAGACGGATGTCCTGGCATGTCGCCTGCATACATTTCAGCACAGCGTAACGCGGTTCATAATTCTGATCACTGTGAGCCATACCCATCTGCCTCCGGACTATAGACAGTCTAAATAGATGACAGCGAGCTGAGCTTTATACTTCAGGACTGTTTATAATGTAATGTAGAATTTGGGGCATATCAAAATTCCGCTTAAATGCATGCTATGGTAATTGCAAAACAAAACAAAAAAACATGCAAAACAAAAATAAATCCCCTAACTCCTCCAATACCTCAAACACACCAAGAGCTTCATCTTTAAAGACAACATGAACTGGCATTCACAAAGCATTGAATATGTTAGTTACAGAATGAAAATATATGGACATAGATTGGAATTTAAATATATGTGGTTATTATTGTTGATTTTCTTTTGAGGTCTTGCAAGCTGTAGTATTTCCTTTAGGAAATGCTTTTTTTTTTTTTTTAACTAATAGATTTAGTTTTTCTTGACTATTCACAGCAAACACGCACAACCTGCAGACCCTCCACACACTCCTTTCTACAGGATCTCCATTGAAGCCTCAGAGCTATGAGTATGTGTACAGCTGTATTAAGAACAATGTGCTCCTGGGATCCATATCAGGTGGGCATTCTATTCTATTACCTGCCTTTTTCCTCCTTTCTTTCTTTTTCTTTCTTTCTTTTTTTTACATTTCTTTTTACTTTGTTAATTTTCCTTTCCTTCCTTCATCCATCTCTCTCTCTCTCTTTCATTCTTTATTCTTCTCTTGATAGTACGGTGTGTGTGTGTTCTAATGCCTACAGGGCCCTGCGGAAACAAATTAGCATCAGCGTTAACAGCAGTGGTGGACTGCTGATTTTGTGTGCATGTGTGTGTGTTTGTGACTGGGGTCTCGCAGCATGTCTCTCTCACACACCACCTGTGCCCAGTTTCTCCCTGCGGTTTCACCAGATGAGCTTTGCTCTAATGGCAGGTCAGCGGCAGCCTGCTACAGTCATGTTATTCACAATGAACCTTTCAGAGCTGTTTATTTAACTTCTTATGTGCAGTGCTTGTTCCTGGATGAGTTATTGCAAGGAATACAAGGAGGTTACAGCTATGCTATTTTTAGTCTTTGCTCTTTTATTATATTACATTTCCATTGCATTTTATATTATATAAAATGGGTAGTTCTGGTCTTTGATGCGGTTTGGTCAATAACCATGTTTTATTTACAAATATGATGATTCTCTTCACTGAACAGAATATGTAGCTATGATTTTTATATTGATTTTTAGTTTTTTCTCATTTATATTATATAATATTATACTATATGGAATATTACTGGAAAATATAATGGCTTTACAGTAGTAGCGATTACTGTGTTAAGTAATATATGGTTAATATGGTTATGGTTATTATGATTTTGTATTGTAAATGTTTGAAAGATTTTAGTCAATGAACTTTTAGAATTTTGTTAAAAAAAAAATTCAGATTCTGAATCTAAAGTAGACAAATGTGATCTTATTGTCTTATTGAGTGATAGATTATGATGTGTTCTTTGCATATGTCTGCCATGAAGGCTTTTTGATTTGCCATTTGGCTCACATTTGATACCATGACAGCAATCCCATTGAATTCTGACATGTTTGCAGAGCACATGAGCCTCATAACTTTTCAGAAAAAGGCTTTGACTGATGTTTCTTGACTCCAGAGGTTTTTGAAATGTCAGGCTACCTAAAGATGTCTGCTGGGAAACAGCAGCGCAGCAACACGATCCTTTGTCTTCAGCTCTGAGCTCAGATAGCCTGTTGACCCTCTGAAATACTGAGAACCTGCTTTGTCTAGGATCATCGCTGTGCCCACCTCCCCTCAGATACGTGACCTCTGCCAACCCGAGGCAGATTTGACCTTGACCCCAATGTCAAGCAGAGCATATGTGTCGAGGCTTGTTTCCCGCCGCTCCTGTTACTGTGCCAGCCAGACTCCTGAGCGCAGAGGGGCAGCTGGCAGGAAGCTTTAACACTTTCAGCCACCCAGAATCACCTGAATCCAGTAGACCCCCCAATATCAGCTACCATCTGTCACATACACACATAAACACACACATCTATTGTCCCAGCAACCTTTTTCACTTTTGCCCTTTTTATTTCTCTCCTGTTTTCGGTCTCTTTTATAATCTGACTTTATAGCCATTACATTTGTCAATTACTGAGACCTATTTTTATTTAGAGCCACCTCTATCCCAACACTGCCTCTCCTGGTTTTTCTCCACAAAACCTCATTATTTTGAAATATTGATTGTCTTGCTTTTTCTTTTGGGAAAAAGCAAAAGAAAAAGCTTTTCAGTGCTGGCATTATAATGACTTGGCATCAGAGCTGCTCACATATGTTGTAGGTTCAGTTTTATATTGGGTGACTCCATAACTATAGGCCTAAAATTACTCCATTGAAGTATCAGAATTCACATGCTTCTAGCTGCATAATTATATACACAATTAATTGTTTAGGTTCAAAATATGTCAATGCGCTTCATAACACAAGTGCCTATTGCATTTCTCATCATTGCCACAGGGGGCACACCTCTTTCAGGTCAACTGCTGTCATGGATGAGCAAAGGTTTGAGGAGAATCTTGCTGAGAAAGCTACTTAAAACCCACATTTATGGCTAGTTTTTGAGCTCAGCTTATCACTTATGAAGACTCGGGATTATCTAAAGTATTATCAATTTCTATGCAATTAATGGTACTTTAAACAGACCTTATGATACACAAATATGTAATATAAAAAGTGCAACTTTGGAAAAAATTTGTTTGTGATTGGCAAATTTGAATGTAAAAGTAGTTAATTTTGTAGTGTCACTCCTTTTATTTAGTTACTCTCATCACTGATGGCTTATTACTTGTGTTTTTGGCTTTTTCTCTGCCATTAAAAAGATTGTTTGAGCCCTGATGAGGTTACGAAACAAGCATTTTATATTTGTAGTGAAGTATTGTGTGAGCCAGTTTCATTCCTGAAGAAAGCCTGAGTTTGTTGGACCAAATAGATATTTGTGCACCTTTGTTCAGCTTGTTCCTTTTGCTTTTATTGTGTCTGGTAAACAAATCAATAGGGAAGGGCTGCACTATAGAAACTGTGATCCATATAAATGGAGACAGGATAACAAAGCTACCAGCAAATTATGCCAACAAGTTAATGAAAAATCCATTCAGTTTCCACAAAGTAAACTAAATTTCTAGAGCTTTTCATCTGTTCTGAAGATATTCTGAAACACGAAAGATCTGTCTGTCTTTGAATTTCTCCACAAACCTGTGAGATTTTCTTACCTTGAAGATTTTGATCATCTTTCAAAATAGAATATTAACATCTTTAATATTTCCTCAGGAGGCACAGACATCATTTCATGCTTCCTGGGTCAGAACATGACGGTGCCTGTTTACAGAGGGGAAATTCAGGCCCGAAATCTGGGCATGGCTGTGGAGTCCTGGAATTGTGAAGGTGAGATATAGCTCATGTTTATCTCTGATTTATGGTCAAGACACAGAGGTCTTCTTTTATTTCATTGTATTATTTTTAATATAAAATTAATAGTTTGGGATCTGAAATCTGATTTGATTCGATTCACAAGTAGTTAAATATAAATATTGGTGTCGGAAGGATTTTTTTAAAAGAAATTAATACTTTTATCTAAGACTTTAAATTCATCAAAGATTCTTGAAAAACTATATATCATTGTTTCCACAAAAATATTAAGTGGCACAACTGTTTTCAACATTGGAAATAATATGACGTCCAAATCAGCATATTAGATAGATTTTTGAAGGACAGAGAGAGACACTGAAGACTGGAGTAATGGCTGCTGAAAATGTAGCTTTGCAATCATAGGCATAAATTACATTTTAAAATATGTATTTAAATAGAAAAGTTATTTTAAATTGTAATCATATTTCACAGTAAAAAAGCTCACTAACCCCAAGCTTTTGAATGGTAGTGTACATTTATTATGTAAATAATATATGTTATTTAAAGCCTAGATATTTTACAACATCACCTACAATAATGCTAAGAACCTAAATTAACTGCCAGAAGAATTATTAAATAAATGTAATTTATTACCCCTTAACATTGGTAAAAACACTTCCTTTGTAGCTTATTGCTTCAATAAAGCGGTTGTGTTTGGTGTGTATTTCAGGTAAGTCTGTTTGGGGTGAGAGTGGGGAGCTGGTGTGTTTGAAGCCCATCCCGTGCCAGCCCACTCATTTTTGGAACGACGAGAATGGCAGCAAATACCACAAAGCCTACTTTTCTACCTTCCCAGGTAACCCTTCACATGACATCACCCTAGATCTCTTTCAAAATCTAGTGAACTGCCTCCACAGGCAGCATTTTAAGATATTATAGGCATCATTGCAAAATGCATTGCTTCAGACTCATTGCTCGTAGCCTATAGAGGCTCACAGATGCACTCTGTTGCCTTCCTTCAAAGCTCTTAAATGGTGAAGTGTGTTTTCTGTCTGATTTAGAAAGCAAACGAGTCATCTGCTTCAGTTTGTTCAGAAGACTCTGCAGCTTTTCTGGCGTATTGATTAAATGATTTCTGAGGGCAAAAAGGGGAAAAAAAAGAACCTGCCAGCTTTTGTTAGCACGAAGAATCTCCTTGAAGCCTTATTGCTGTCGGTTTGGAGATGTAGGAAAAGGCCAATCAGGACAGTTCAGCATCATTAGCGTTCTCAGGCCGTCAGCGGTCAAGATACACAACAGCTGCTTCTTTCTATAACTATTTGTTCATCCTTCTCAATCCATTTATTTGTGTGTATCTCCTCATTCAGGAGTCTGGGCCCATGGTGATTACTGTAAGATAAATCCAAAAACGGGAGGAGTCGTCATGCTGGGGAGAAGGTAAGTCTTGCTTTTTGTTCTGCTTTGTTGTATTGAAGATTTTGATAATCTTCTTTTGTTTATACTTATAATATTGCTTTGTTACTGTATTATGATACTCTGAGATTAGTAATGCCCCTAAATGGTATAAAGCACTATTTGTTCTGTCTGTATTTTCAGTGATGGAACCTTGAATCCTAATGGTGTTCGGTTTGGGAGCTCAGAAATTTATAACATTGGTGAGAAATAAATATACACATTTTTTCCTGATAAAAAAAAGTCGACTGGTTTAGAACAGGCTAAAACATCAAGTGGTTTTAATCTTTCTCAAAATATACAATATATTGGTACCATGATGGTTATTAGTGAATATTCACTATCGTTAAAAGGTTTGGGTTCTGTACATTTTATTTTTTTTAAGCTCACCAAGAAAGCATTTATTTGATCAAAACAAACTTTAAAATGGTAATATTGTGAAACATTATTACAATGGCAGAGCTGAATTTTAAGCAGCCATTACTCCAGTCTTTAGTGTCACATGATCTTTCTGAATTGATTTAATAATAATAATAATAATACGTTTAATTTATATAGTGCCTTTCCCAAGCTCAAGGACGCTGCACAATGACAAAAGCAAATAAACAATCATGTTATACATAGATGGACAAGACATTTGCCAAGTCCAGAACGTGCGGTTGCAGTTGCATACCACAGTAATAATACAGTATCATAATCGCACACACACACAAAAAAAATTTGAATTAAAAAAATTAATTTCTTCTTCTTATTATTCGTATTCCTTCTTATTCTTATTATTAACATTTCTTATTATTATCAATCTTGAAAACAGTTTGGAAACTGCTTAATGTTTTTGTGTAAACCATGATAATTTTTTTTTTATTTTGATAAATAGAAAGTTCAAAAGAACAACATTTATTTGAAATGGAACTCTTTTGTAAAAACTTAAAAAATCTTTACATTACATTTACATTTAGTCATTTAGCAGATGCTTTTATCCAAAGCGACTTGCAAATGAGGACAATAAAAGCAGTCAAAACTAACAAAAGAGCAACAATATATAAGTGCAAATGACAAGTCTCGGTTAGCCTAACGCAGTACACGTAGCAAGGTGTGTGTGTGTATGTGTGTGTGTATGTATATGTGTGTGTGTATATATATATATATATATATATATAATACACACACATATACACACACGCAAAGAAAAACAAGTGGATAGAATAGAAAAAATAGAATAGAAAAATATAAATAATTATTTAAAAAAAACAATTTTTTTTTTAGATAAAGGCTGCATGTTGTGTGCTACACTAGATGCCCCTTCGCAATGACTATTTGGTCTCTTTCGGTCTCTTACAGTCCATTTCTTCATGTGTCCCATCCACAAATCCAGAGACTGTCGCTGTAGGCATTCCTCCATAACGTTTCAACCCAATACATTTATCATCAGAACACTGCTCACAAATGAAAAAGCTGCATTTGTTTGTTGTTTGAAGTTGTGAAAGTCAGCAAGACCGTTGCAATGACATGAAATCCAGTTAACCATGTAATATTAGATTATTTGATTATATAATGTTTGCATTAGGAGTAAAGGGAAGAAATTCTGGGCAGTCGAAATGTCTAGGATATAATCTGAAACCACAATGAAAAATAGAAAATATCGATTTATGTTGGATCAGATTCGAGCTGGTTGACATGTACTGATGATGCATATCACAGAAATATTTACCAACACGTTTCACAGAAGCAGGCTTCCATCCAGAAAATAATTTTTTTTAGTGACACTGAGAGAGGATATGCTGCAACTGCTCGCAACAAATACCAGAAAATGTGATGTGTCTGAATAATTTTTAAATAATTTTGTGCTAATAATGTTATTGCAGCAGTTGTTTACAACAGAGAAGCCTTGCAGGCTAGTATTGATGTACATTTCAAGTTTTAATGGGTCATATTTTTGGGGCAAGTTTTTGACCTCAGTGAGACCTCTATTTAGGTTTCCTAAAAGAAACTACACACTACAGAGTTTTAAAAAAAAGCTTTTTATATATGATAAAGCTTAGACAAAACTCAAAACTGTGGACGGGCTCTTTAAGAGGCTCATTTCTTTGAAATTGAAATCATTCGGTATAGAGGTGCAGATGGCAAGCAGTTGTGCAGATCGCTTGAATTAAATCAGTCCTTATTTCCGCTTCAGACAAGCAGGAACGGATCTGTTTCACCTCATGCCCACCCTTGTGCCACCATATGCCCCATATCTGCTTAGTTTTGCTGACAGGACTTGCCTGGTCTGGGACTGTACACATAAGGAAAGCTACCAAATCCTTATTTATTGTTAGTCACTGTAGATTTCGCTGTACATTACCACTTGTCGCAAACATTTTTTGTCCCCCAATTTTTTTTTTCATTTTTCCATACTCGGCAATTTCATAAACATTCCATGGAGATCTCTTCCACTTTATTACCATGTTGTTTTTCCTTTTGGATACATGGAAATGGAAATACTGGAAATATATTTTTTGTTTAGGTCCTTATTATTGTATTACATTAAATGTATTTGGTGTATTACTAGTAAATGAAAGGTGCTCTCTTCTCGATGGCTAATGCAATATTCCTGCTTTGAAATAATATAATTGTACATCGCTTAATGTGAATAATGATTACTAATATAGCTGAGAATATATTTGTTATGAATAGATTATGCCTATATACTGTATATCAATGGACCACTTCAGTTGTGTCCACTAGGAGCATACATGTATTTCATGTATATCAATACTTATTGTACTCCTAATTAAAGAACTAAGAAATTATTCTGGTCTACTGTAATTTTTTTAATTAATTTATTTTATCTTGCATGAATTGTTGCACGGTCTGTCTTTCTGTCGGTCGGTAGGCTGTAAAATGCTTTTTTGTGACACTGAGAGAGGATATGCTGTAGCTGCTCGCATCAAAAGCTTGAAAATGTGCTGCGTTTTAATCATTTTAAAATAATTTTGCGCTAGTAATGTTATTTCAGCAGTTGTTTACAACAGAGAAGCCTCACAGGCTAGTATTGATGTACATTTCAAGTTTTAATGGGTCATATTTTTGGGGCAAGTTTTTGACCTCAGTGAGACCTCTATTTAGGTTTCCTAAAAGAAACTACACACTACAGAGTTTTAAAAAAAAGCTTTTTATATATGATAAAGCTTAGACAAAACTCAAAACTGTGGACGGGCTCTTTAAGAGGCTCATTTCTTTGAAATTGAAATCATTCGGTATAGAGGTGCAGATGGCAAGCAGTTGTGCAGATCGCTTGAATTAAATCAGTCCTTATTTCCGCTTCAGACAAGCAGGAACGGATCTGTTTCACCTCATGCCCACCCTTGTGCCACCATATGCCCCATATCTGCTTAGTTTTGCTGACAGGACTTGCCTGGTCTGGGACTGTACACATAAGGAAAGCTACCAAATCCTTATTTATTGTTAGTCACTGTAGATTTCGCTGTACATTACCACTTGTCGCAAACATTTTTTGTCCCCCAATTTTTTTTTTCATTTTTCCATACTCGGCAATTTCATAAACATTCCATGGAGATCTCTTCCACTTTATTACCATGTTGTTTTTCCTTTTGGATACATGGAAATGGAAATACTGGAAATATATTTTTTGTTTAGGTCCTTATTATTGTATTACATTAAATGTATTTGGTGTATTACTAGTAAATGAAAGGTGCTCTCTTCTCGATGGCTAATGCAATATTCCTGCTTTGAAATAATATAATTGTACATCGCTTAATGTGAATAATGATTACTAATATAGCTGAGAATATATTTGTTATGAATATATTATGCCTATATACTGTATATCAATGGACCACTTCAGTTGTGTCCACTAGGAGCATACATGTATTTCATGTATATCAATACTTATTGTACTCCTAATTAAAGAACTAAGAAATTATTCTGGTCTACTGTAATTTTTTTAATTAATTTATTTTATCTTGCATGAATTGTTGCACGGTCTGTCTTTCTGTCGGTCGGTAGGCTGTCTCTCTCGCTCTCTCTCTCTCTCTCTCTCTCTCTCTCGATTCAATTCAAAATTGCTTTATTGGCATGACAGTAAATGATACAATATTTCCAAAGCTTAGTATACATGTACAAAAAGATTTGTATAATAATTAAATGAACATCACCGTAATAGAATTGAATATTATAACATCTTAGAAATATTAAACTGTAACAAATTATAATGTGTGAACATTTGATACCACAGTCTTTAACTTACATAGAAACACACATACATACTAAGGATCACTGTGGTGGACAGTAGGGTAACACACTGATGTCAGACACAACACACATTCACCCGCTCTCTCTCTCTCTCTCTCTCTCTCTCTCTCTCACACACACACATTCACACATTCACCTGCTGTCTCTCAATTCAATTCAAATGAGCTTTTTTTTAAATGACTTGCACAGTATTGCCAAAGCATTGTCCATTACATGAATAAACAATTATATAATACATAAACAAAACAACAATAGATATGTAAAATAATTAAGTAAATAAGTACGTGAAAAATATTAAAGGCATTGTTTAAAAATAAATAAATAAAAATAATGTCTCTCTCTCTCTCTCTCTCTCTCTCAATTCAAATACCTTTATTGGCATGACAATAAACTGTCTCTCTCTCTCTCTCTCTTTCTCTCTGTCACACACACACACACACACACACATTTACCTGCTGTCTCTCACTCACTCACACACACACACACACATTCACCTGCTCTCTCTCTCTCTCTCTCTCTCTCTCTCTCTCTCTCTCACACACA